CTTTATCGCACAAGTTTAACAGGCCTCAAGATGTTTGAGTGCAGGTAACCAGAAGACGAGCATTTTTATCACATATAACCATCTTTTATATTCGAAGTAGGATGATTTGATTTATAGGGGCAATACTCTGTCATCATACCACATAATTCAAACATACGATGAAGGTCGAACAAAATAATAACTATTGTTTTCCGCATCACTTTCTGGAGAATAAGCACTTGTCCGTTCATTGTTCTATTTTAATGGTTAAAAATAAATCCCATTGGCGCATTAATATTTGGATGATAAGTAGCCTGCGTGTACACCGATGCTCCAGGTTCACTCATGCCACTGTTGACGTTAGGGCGATTTTGCTTCACATACCGCAATTGATGAGTGACAGATGCGAGTCACTCTGAGACATATTTAAACAATTGACCTATGTCTTCAAAGGTTTGCAATTGCGGAAAACTAAACAGGACCGACAATTATATGCGTAAACTTCCAACAATACGTACGGTGTACAAAAGGGTCATTTGAAGCAGGCGACTAAACAGGTTAGCGACCCATCGGATCGAAAATCACTAGGACCGGCCTCTGGTATGCGTCTGAAGTAGGGCCGCATCAATTATGGTTTTCAGAACGGCGTAAATTATAAAATCAATAATCAACAGGCAAGAAACATGACGCAACATTACTCATATCCGTAGTTTCTGTTAATTTAGTTAATATGTGGGGCTTTCCAGGTTTCCTAAGACCCCTGAGAGCTGTGCCACATAATATATATCAGATCAGTTTGGGTATTACCAGTTATTTATCCGAATTGTTGTCAGGTGTCAGTAAAATTGTGTGGTGGTAGTGTTTGTTAAAAAAAATCAGAAGACAACTAGTCCTCTACATACATTTCGCACCAATCAGATCACGTCGAATGACCGCAACTTGAGAGCTGGCGTTATTTTACCGCACCATTGAGTAGTGTTTGGAAATTTGCGTTCGGAGCTGTCGTCAGGTTTGTCCGATGTAGTTGCATCGTCTACAACTGCACTACTTATGATAAATGCCTCCAGTCATTTCTTGCCTTAGCAGTTGGTCGTTCGGTTTCTTACTTGACGCCTCATGGTTGCGTCCGGTCTCCGTGCAAATCAAACCTCAAGTGGCGCGGGCAGGCGGCTGACAGCTTCCGAAGAATTATTGGCGTACGGAAAGGCTCATTAAAATTTGCAGTCCGTGAGCTCTGCCTTTCATCAGTTTTCCGTATGCACCAGCTGATGAAGTTTTGTGGGCAGACAGCGGCTGTGAATAACCGTCTGATATATTGCATAGACGATGTGCTAACTCATGCAATGTCAACCAAAATTCCGAAATGCGTTCTCGTTTCGAAAAGATCAATTATGTAGTGTTGTAAAACTAATCATGATGCAGCATAAATCTATAATAATACAGTTAAAACAGGATGTCGGCTTTCAAGAGAACTTATTTTCGGCTGCATGCAAGATATATACTCTGCAAAAAATGACTACTAAATTAATTTGCAATTTTCTCATCGATTGTCGATGCCCTTGAAAATTCAATTATATTTTATGGAAAACATGCATAAAGGTATTCATTCGTTTGCTTATTCGGTTGAACGTCACATCTTCTTCCAATATCATACTAAAAAGACGAGTAAAATTCGGTTTTAAAAAACGTTTCTAATTCCCGAATAATTTTAAACTCGACTTGCTGTTACACTTGCATTCAGGGTTTCAAAACTACAAGCAGTGTATTTGAGCAATATTGTTAACTTTACAAGCCATATTCGTAAATGCAGATACATGACGTTTCATGAGCGACCATTTAACCGTATTAAAAATCTCACAATAAGAAACATTTTGCAAAACCGAATTATACTCTTCTTTTGAGTATGAAATTTGAAGAAGACGTGACTTGCTATCGAATAAGTAAAAGAATAAATATTTGTGTGCATGCTTTCCATGTAATATTATTTAATATTCAAGGGCATCGAAAATCAATGAGAAAATTGCATGCTACTCATGTCGTCTTTTTTTGCAGAGTATAGATCTTGCATGCAGCCGAAAATAGGTTTTTTCGAAAGTCGACACCCTGAGGTAACTGGATCTTTATAGATTTATGCTGCAGCGTGGTTAGTTTTACAACACTACATAATTGATCTTTTCGAAACGAGAACGCATTCCGAATTTTTAGTTGAGAATACATGAATTAACACATCTACTGTGGTTCGGCGATCTTGTCTTCTAGCACATTGCAGTGCCTTTGGACTCGCCGAAAGAGCGTTTGTACAAGATGGCGCCTTTTGACTAATTTGGTGTCTGTTTAAGTTCATTACCCGCACCTTATTTATCGACTTCTTTGTGAGGCGCAGTTTTAGAAGGTACGTTCTCATCGCGTAACTGCCGTCAGAAATAAGACACTATGTACGCCAAACATGCGATAAAGGATGAACGAAATAATGAGTAACCTTCCACACATCATGTTATGGAGAACTAGCTGATGTCCATGGATTGTTAGGCCTAAACAGTATTGCGATCAGTCTCATTGGTGTATAAGTGCCTGAGTAAACACATCCTGTGTGCAAGTATGCGCTTAAAAACGCGCTATTTCAGTGCAGCACTCAAAACGACTACCAGATATGATATAGCATAAAAGAGTATATTCCTCTGGCATATTTTATAAAATGGTACCCGGCGTTCCAACCAAGAAGTCAAACTTGATTTTTTCCACAAAACGCGGTGTATGAGAGGATCCATAAACAGACCGACAAGGTATAAACCGACAGGGCAATGGGCTCGTGGCTCAGTGGTTAGAGGCGTGGATTTCTAGCAAACAGGTCAGGAGTTCGAACCTGGGGTGTGCCTCACTTCGGAGTTGGTTATGACTGACTGACAACGGCAAATAAGCCAGAAATGGCCATTCCAGTCTCCAGTGTCTTTCTTGTTAATATCATTCTGCCTATATCATGCGCCGCTGTCCGGCTGCTGGTTGGGCTCGACAGGGAGTCCATAGGGCACAACGAACGAGTGAGTTCCGTAAGAACGATCGGTGAGCGCCCCGTACTATTATAAACAGACCAATAATTTACTGAGTCCAATCTGCGAAATTACGACATATTAAAAACAAGTACCATTAAATTAACCCTCAAAATTACCAGTAGTGATGCGCACGTAGTACAAGAGAATAAGAATGGTTTTAGCAGTTCGTTTAGTTATCAGAAATAACGACAGCTGATATTACGCCAGACAAACATTGCTCGTAATTAAAAGGAAAACAACACTTATTTAAACGATTTTTAGACAACCAGAGACGAAGATTCCCTTATTACGCTAAACGATTTCATGCGAGTTTGTGTTTTTCGAACCACATGCAATGCAAATCTAACTCGCGTCGTCTACACGTACACAATGTTAAGACGACCAACAGATTTCCCGGAGCAAGATGTGCGTTTAAACTTTGCAATAAGAAAAGAGGAGGATGTTCGGGCTGGGCTGCATATTATATGGTCTCATTTGTAAAATATTAATCCGAAGTTGTAAGATGAATTTCGGATTTCGGGTTTATGAGCCAGGCCAATTGCAAATTTTTAAAGTATTTTTTGCGTTTTCTCAGAAACGTTCTTTACGTAAAGTGGGTGGCCAAACTCATGAAATGTCAATTGAAATTCAGCAACGTGCCTTCGTTTCGAAAAGATTAATTAAGTAGTGGTTGCACAACTGCTCATCGTGAAGCATAATATTATAATAAGTCAGTTAATTCAGGATGTCGGCTTTCGAATAAAATTCTTTCCGGCTGCATGCAATAACCGCAATCTGAAAAAAATGACTACTTAATTATCATCCATTTTTTCATTGAATTTCGATGACTTTGACAAGTCATTATCAGTGTATTTCAGGGAAAGTAGGTAAGTACCTTTGAAATACCTAATGGGTACATGCGGAGGGAGTATATGAGAAAACGGAAATGAATTAGCACAAAAGAAATACAAGGGGAATGTCAAAAATTGTACAGATGAACACAGAATGTCATGCGTTAACAGAATTTAGGGGCGCATGAATTCGGCTATTTGATTAAATGCAGCAGACAGTTGAAGCACACTTAAGATAAAGGAAAAGAAGTAAAATTGTTTAGTCTGCAGGTATCGGGGTGAATGGGAGCATCGGTGTGCGACATAGTCCAAAATTAATAAATTACATAAGTTTATGTAACGTGAAAATTTGTAGTAGCATAATGATAACACTAAATTGTCAACGTGGGCTATCGAGTAGGATGTAGTCCGGCGTTATTGTGGTGCGCGCTACAGTGTTGATCTACCCTCCGTTCAAAATTGCTTACGGATCCCGACATAAATCATCCTCAGGCAAAGAATTCCAAGCTGCAACCACTCTGTTGGAGAAGAAGAACTTTCGCGTGTCTAGCCGGGCACCAGCCACACGCAGGTTGAGTGAATGGCCTCTCAGGTCAGTCGTAGTCGCCAACTCGAAGAAGTCTCCAAACGCGAGGCAGCAGCCCTGATTGCGCACGATGCGAAAGCTTGTATCAGGTTCCCAAGTAGCTGTGTGTAACTGAAAGGATAATGGTCTAGATTAGTTAAATGTGTTTCGTAGGGTAGTGACCACTGCCCAGATACAAATTCCGTTGCTCGCCGAAGAACTTTTTCGAGTATGCCGAAGTGATCAGCGGTCCAGAGTCTCCATGCTTGGATGGCATATTTCAGATGCCGTCATCGCACAAAAAATTAAAAGACCTTGGCGAAGCAGTCTTCATCAGAGGATGAGAACGCCTGTTTGATGAGGAATAGAATGGACATCGCCGACTTGGCCAGCTTTGCACATTGCAGCGAAGGCTTAAGGGAGGTTGTGATCCATACACCCAAGTCATTTTGAGCGTACTTGCAGTGGTTAGCCAGTCAGACGGTAGACCGTGTGATTAGGAGAACTGGTTCTGCCGACGCGTAGGAAAGTACACTTGTTTACGATAAACGGTAGAAGCCAGTCTTTCGACCATTACTAGAGGTGGTCCAGATTTGTCTGCAGTCGCGCCTCGTCGACTTCGCTTCGTATGGTACTCCAGATCTTTATGTCATCGGCAAACATTGCGACATCGCAATCCAGTTCGTTTGCGCAGTCTTTGACGTATACGAGGACCAGTGTAGGGCCAAGAACAGAGCCTTGGGGAACACCACTCTTAACGGCAACCTCGGCAGATTGTTGGTCACCGACGTGGACGGCTTGAGAGCGGCCGAGTAAAAAGCTACGAATCCACATCAGAAGCTTACCTCGCATTCCTGCACGGCTAAGTTTGTATAGAAGGCGGTGGTGAGGCACACTATCGAAGGCCTTTTTAAAGTCGATATAGATGGCATGCACCATATCTCCTCTATAAACAGCCCTAGTCCAGTGTTCCAGACAGTAGAGCAGGTTTGTCACACAGGATCTGCCTTTTCGGAATCCCTGCTGGGAATCGGTAAACATATGGTTGTGTTCAAGGAACTGCATTAGTTGTTGCTTTATTATCTTCTCCATAATCTTACAGCAAACGGAGGTGAGGCTGACCGGTCTGTAATTGTTCGCAGAGACCTGACTTCCGCCCTTGTACAGCCACGTAATCCACGACGACTTCCAGTCGGTTGACAGATATGCGTTCTCGAAGGATGTATGGAAAAGCATGGAGAGTGGCTTAGACAACGCACTGGTGAGCATCTTCAACATTGTCGCCGGAGTCTCATCAGGACCTGGTGATTTTGATTCCTCTAGCCTCAGAAACTCATTTAGAACCATATCCTCAGTGAACTGAACCATCTCCAAAATTGTGGTGCTTTCGAAGAGTTTCACTAAAAAAAGACGTACAAATTTCAGAAAGTTGATCAGCTTTCGCTTTGCCTTCAGTGAGGCATTCGCCTTTAGTAGTCTTTAGCAGTGTCATTGTGTACTTGTTCCGCGTCCGGTGCCTTATGTATCCGCAGAATAATTTAGTTTTCTCCGCGACACGGTTAAGCAGATCCCGTTCTAATTCCCTTCTGCTTCTGAGTATAAGGCCCCTCACCCGATTGCTGTGAAATTTGTACGCACATATAGATGTGGAGCACCTGTCAGAAAGCGACTTTTTCCACAGCCTTCGTTATGATTCACTTCACTCTTCAAGGCCTGCGTAAACAATCGACGTCTGTTTATTAACCTCTTTCGTGAAAGCGGACAGTGGTTAGCGATCAGCTTGTGCAAAATCTCTCGAAACCGTTGCCAGTCTTCGAGTATGCTTCCATCAAATACTGCCTCCCACTGAATGCGTGAAATTTCAGCCCTCATTTTGTCAAAATCCCCGCGGCAATGGTTTTCTCTAGCTGTCACGGATTTCTCGGGCATGGAGAAAAGCGAGTAATCCCATAGAAGAATGAGGTGGTCACTTAATCCTAAAGAAGGTAGGCATGACACCTCATCAATGCTGTCCTGTGACTTTGTAAGGACAAGATCAAGGCAGTTGGCTCGTAGGCCTTCGCGTACTCTAGTTTAGTAACATGGCGTGTTGCGTGAGAAATAACTGCAGTGTCGTGTCCAGAAAACTGCCATCGATGGTCTGTTCTCAGCTATTTGCATGGGTCGAGCTCTAGTGAATATAAGGCGTGCTAAAGTCGTCCATGATCAGGATATCCGGCCACGTAGCGAACTTTTCGAGCTTCTTCAGCAGGCGTGCGTCGGCCATGTTGTCCCGTCTCAGCGGTGAAAACGATAAACGATATAGTCGATAAACGGTCAGGACATCGATGCTAGGCAAACTGGGCACTTACATAGACAGCCAGACTGCCTCGGAAGTGCATGAACATTTATCGATTTTGTCTGATAAATTTATCCCATTTTTCTCAAACGTGATTACTCCTCCAGCCTGACGGCCTTCCCCATCCCGTCTAAACATCTTGTATCCAGGAAAGGCCAACTAGCGATCGTCCACTTGTTGGGTCAACTAGGTTTCCGTTAAAGGGATAACATCAGGGGATAGATCACATAGGAGGATCTTCAGCGCGTCGAACTTTGATAGAAAACTCTTCACGTTGCTGTATAAGAAATCCAATTTCGGGCTGGTGGAAGATGTGGTTACATTTTGATTAGCGTTCTCACTTAATATGTCGGCTGTGCGGTCATTCGGAACGGACCTGTCCAAAGGAAAATTGGCGGACGCCGACGTACTCGGATGTTGTATATGAGTAAATTGTCCTCCCCCTCGCTAGGCCTCTGTATTAGTTCTATAACAAAGTAACGTTGTTTCAGCCTTTCCGCTGGCGAGTAGTCCGGTTGAAAAAACATCTAGTTTGGAGCCTTTAATCGTGGACTGAATGAGACTGGTTTGGTCTTTGCTGGCCAACACAACTTTAATAGCCCGGGGACGAATCGAGACTGATGAATTGTCTGCTCGTTTTCCAAGGCGGAAGGCTTTGATCACTTCAATGGCCTCAGTGGATTGCAAAATATTATAGAGAAGACCTTGAAATTATGATAGATCTTCCGAAACCCGCTGCTTTGGAGTGTTTGTACTTGATTCAAGGAGCCCCTTAATCATACAACATTTTTCTCTGTCCGGTTTTTTGTTCTATGGAAGTGGGGTTCTCTAAATGATGTATGGCTCTAGGACTAAGCGCTGGTGATGGTGGAGTAGATGCACTTAGGCCGTCTGTTTTTCTGACTATTATGTTGACAACTTAGGAAAAAGCGTTTGACAGAGAAGACTTTGAATAAGTGAAGAAGACTGTGAATTGAACTCTGTGGCTCTGGTGTATGAATCGATCCCACTGCTCGTACTATGTCTATCAAGCTCGGACCTTTTCGGAGAATCAGGTAAGGTGCTTCGACAACCAACCTTTGCCTTGAGGGACGGAATGTCCGTCGATGTCTGTGTTTCGGCCTCTACGGAGGCATATTCCAGAAGTAGCCGTTCATTCTCCGTGGGCTTTTTACAGTTTGATTTCTTCTTCAGTTCAGTGTTTGGGTTTCCTGTCAAGTCCTTATTTTCTTGCAATTTAGCTATTCGTTTTGGGGCTACTGTAATTGGCGCTGGCGTGCCTATTATGCTGAGATCTTTTGCCCTACTTCTGGATACTCGTCCTGTAGGCCTATTGGTAGCGTTAGTTTGGTCTAGACTGCATCGCAAGTGGGCTTTCAACTTTGTGATTTCTTACTCAAGATCGTTGACCTCGACGGCCAAAATTTGGCCTCCACTGCGATGTTGGTTTTCATTTTCTGCGTCAATGCAGTCAAGTTAACTGTGTGATAACGCCCTCCACTGAACTGCGGTGGCCTGGGGGTTGGCACAGTTGAGGGAGAAAGGGATGATTGCTAGATCAACTCCCCACTTCGGCCCTACATTTTGGACGTCAGTGCTTATTTCAGTCACGCCGTGAAGTATTGGGAAAGGAGCAAGTTGCAGGAATAGAAGAAAAAATTGCCTTGGGGAAATAGGGATGACAGTGCGTATGGTTGGGTTTGTCGGAGAATTTCAAGAATGCAGGGCCTGGAGGACTTTTAAGCTTAGAATATTTGGTAATCTGCCAAGTGCACACATCTAATCAGATCAACAAGCAATGTAGAAGTTATCGACTCAGCCTTTAGTAAGTCCTGTACCAAAGGTTCCGTCGACATACCTTAAATTTACCGAGTCCAGTCTCTGAGATGGCAACAATCTGAAAAGCAAGGTTCATTAAAGTCAACCTCAAAATTAAAAGTTGTGATGCCTATGTAGTACAAGAGGGGATGGATGGCTTTTTTATTTCGTTTGATCATCAGAAATTACGCAGCTGATATTAAGCAATAGGACAGATATCTCGTTATTCTTCGGAAAACAGCATTTGTTTATACCGATTTTAGACAACAGGAGACGACAATTCCCTTACAGCAAAAAACGATGTAATGCGAGTTAGTGTTTTTCGAACCGTATGCAGTGCCAATCTAACTCGCGTCGTTTGAACACAATGTTTTTAGACGACCATCAGATTTCAGAAAATAAATTAAGAGAAGGATGTTCCGACTCGGCTGTATATTACATGGTCTCATTCGTGAAATGTTTGTCCGAAATTGTAAGGTATATTTCGGATTAAAAAGGATTGTTTATCCTGGATACAGTATTGATTATCATGTAGCGTAAACCTAAAATGTATGAGTAACCTCGCACACACCGGTTTAAATGCGTTGCCTTTAAACTGAAGGTAAAAATCTCACCCTGCGCAAAATGCCTAACCGGATATATATGTATTGCTTTTCAGTTCAATGAATTTGACGCTTACAAGTTTTGGGGAAAAAACATAAAATATATCTTTATTGTACGCCTTTAGTAGCAACTTGCGTCATTGTCAAGTTCTATGCACTGTTGTACTATGAAAAACTTTTAAATTTTCCAAAAAGTCCCAAAATCGACCTGAAGTTGCATATGCGCCTAGACTTTGAAAATACAATCCATTCAAATTCTTACGAGGATAATTCCGCATCTGGGCAACAAAAAACGTCTTTTAGCGTTTCGCTAATTATGTAATGAAATGTGTTCATTTTTTTTATTTTAAAACAACAAGTACAAAAGCGTTAAACATAATATTTAGGTCGCTCATATGTTTCGCAGTTGCACATTTATTTTATTAATTATAAAAGTAAGCGCTTTGCCATGTGCAAGTTAGAGAAAAAACATTGGACACTTAAATTCCGAAACACAGATTTTAATTTTTTCAAGATATTGAAAGTTGCAATTTTGCAAATTCGAACGGGATCTGCTTATCCGTGCCGCGGAGAACCCTAAATTATTCTACGGTTACATTAGGCAGTGCACGCCGATCAAGGACCCAATACCCCTTGCTGAGGACTGCTGAAGGCGAACATCTCACTGACGACAGGGCAAGAGCTGATTACCTTTCAGAATTTTTTCAGTCTGTTTTTAGTAGCGAAACAGAATTCAACCCTTCGGCACCTCAATCCTTCGGAGACATCCCAATTATAGGAGACCGTCCAGTTCACTGAGGGTATGGGTCTGAAGGAGATGCTGAGGCTAGAGGAATCAAAATCACCAGGTCCCGATGAGATTCCGGCGAAGATTTTGAAGGAACTCGCCGTTGAGTTGTCTAAGCCACTCTCCATGCTTTTCCATACATCCTTCGAGAACGCATATCTGTCAACCGACTGGAAGTCGTCGTGGATTACGTGACTGTACAAGGGCGGAAGTCAGGTCTCTGCGAACAATTACAGACCGGTCAGCCTCACCTCCATTTGCTGTAAGATTATGGAGAAGATAATAAAGCAACAACTAATGCAGTTCCTTGAACACAACCATATGTTTACCGATTCCCAGCAGGGATTCCGAAAAGGCAGATCCTGTGTGACAAACCTGCTCTACTGTCTGGAACACTGGACTAGGGCTGTTTATAGAGGAGATATGGTGCATGCCATCTATATCGACTTTAAAAAGGCCTTCGATAGTGTGCCTCACCACCGCCTTCTATACAAACTTAGCCGTGCAGGAGTGCGAGGTAAGCTTCTGATGTGGATTCGTAGCTTTTTACTCGGCCGCTCTCAAGCCGTCCACGTCGGTGACCAACAATCTGCCGAGGTTGCCGTTAAGAGTGGTGTTCCCCAAGGCTCTGTTCTTGGCCCTACACTGGTCCTCGTATACGTCAAAGACTGCGCAAACGAACTGGATTGCGATGTCGCAATGTTTGCCGATGACATAAAGATCTGGAGTACCATACGAAGCGAAGTCGACGAGGCGCGACTGCAGACAAATCTGGACCACCTCTAGTAATGGTCGAAAGACTGGCTTCTACCGTTTATCGTAA